AATTATGAATTTTATTAGAATTCGGAATCTTACGTGTAGTAATCCTCGATTGCGGGGGTTGTAATTTTTTTAGTACACCAAATATTTGTATTTCGTTATTCGGTTACCTATGTAAAATGATCCATAAGCAACCCTTCAATTGCTCTTTAAAGTCAAAGGTCCTTTTGGTTTTAAAATTATGAATTTGATTAGAATTCGGACTTTTACGTGTATTAATCCTCGATGGCGGGGGTTGTAATTTTTGTAGTACACCAAATATTTGTATTTCTTTGTTCAGATATGTATAAATGATCCAAAAGCAACCCTTCAATTGCTTTTTAAAGTCAAAGTTCCTTTTGGTTTTAAAATTATGAATTTTATTAGAATTCGGAATCTTACGTGTAGTAATCCTCGATTGCGGGGGTTGTAATTTTTTTAGTACACCAAATATTTGTATTTCGTTATTCGGTTACCTATGTAAAATGATCCATAAGCAACCCTTCAATTGCTCTTTAAAGTCAAAGGTCCTTTTGGTTTTAAAATTATGAATTTGATTAGAATTCGGACTTTTACGTGTATTAATCCTCGATGGCGGGGGTTGTAATTTTTGTAGTACACCAAATATTTGTATTTCTTTGTTCAGATATGTATAAATGATCCATAAGCAACCCTTCAATTGCTCTTTAAAGTCAAAGTTCCTTTTGGTTTTAAAATTATGAATTTGATTAGATTTCGGACCTTTACGTGTTACAGTAATCCTCTATTACGGGGGTTGTAATTTTTGTAGTAAACCAAATATTTATATTTCGTTACGCGATTATGTATAAATGATCCATAAGTAACCCTTCAATTGCTCTTTAAAGTCAAAGTTCTTTTTGGTTTTAAAATTACGAATTTTATTAGAATTCGGACTCTCACGTGCATTAATCCTCGATTGCGGGGGTTGTAATTTTTGTAGTACACCAAATATTTGTATTTCTTTGTTCAGATATGTATAAATGATCCATAAGCAACCCTTCAATTGCTCTTTAAAGTCAAAGTTCCTTTTGGTTTTAAAATTATGAATTTTATTAGAATTCGGAATCTTACGTGTAGTAATCCTCGATTGCGGGGGTTGTAATTTTTTTAGTACACCAAATATTTGTATTTCGTTATTCGGTTACCTATGTAAAATGATCCATAAGCAACCCTTCAATTGCTCTTTAAAGTCAAAGGTCCTTTTGGTTTTAAAATTATGAATTTGATTAGAATTCGGACTTTTACGTGTATTAATCCTCGATGGCGGGGGTTGTAATTTTTGTAGTACACCAAATATTTGTATTTCTTTGTTCAGATATGTATAAATGATCCAAAAGCAACCCTTCAATTGCTTTTTAAAGTCAAAGTTCCTTTTGGTTTTAAAATTATGAATTTTATTAGAATTCGGAATCTTACGTGTAGTAATCCTCGATTGCGGGGGTTGTAATTTTTTTAGTACACCAAATATTTGTATTTCGTTATTCGGTTACCTATGTAAAATGATCCATAAGCAACCCTTCAATTGCTCTTTAAAGTCAAAGGTCCTTTTGGTTTTAAAATTATGAATTTGATTAGAATTCGGACTTTTACGTGTATTAATCCTCGATGGCGGGGGTTGTAATTTTTGTAGTACACCAAATATTTGTATTTCTTTGTTCAGATATGTATAAATGATCCATAAGCAACCCTTCAATTGCTCTTTAAAGTCAAAGTTCCTTTTGGTTTTAAAAATATGAATTTGATTAGATTTCGGACCTTTACGTGTAGTAATCCTCTATTACGGGGGTTGTAATTTTTGTAGTAAACCAAATATTTATATTTCGTTACGCGATTATGTATAAATGATCCATAAGCAACCCTTCAATTGCTCTTTAAAGTCAAAGTTCTTTTTGGTTTTAAAATTACGAATTTTATTAGAATTCGGACTCTCACGTGCATTAATCCTCGATTGCGGGGGTTGTAATTTTTGTAGTACACCAAATATTTGTATTTCTTTGTTCAGATATGTATAAATGATCCATAAGCAACCCTTCAATTGCTCTTTAAAGTCAAAGTTCCTTTTGGTTTTAAAATTATGAATTTTATTAGAATTCGGACTCTTACGTGTAGTACTCCTCGATTGCGGGGGTTGTAATTTTTGTAGTACTTCAAATATTTATATTTCGTTATTCGATTATGTATAAATGATCCATAAGCAACCCTTCAATTGCTCTCTAAGGTTAAAGTGCCTTTTGGTTTTAAAATTATGAATTTTATTAGAAAATTGGACTCATAGTATAGTAGGTAATTCTCGGTTGCGAGGGTTGTAATTTTTGTAGTACACCAAATATTTATAATTCGTTAATCGATTATGTATAAATGATCCATAAGCAACCCTTCAATTGCTCTCTAAGGTTAAAGTGCCTTTTGGTTTTAAAATTACGAATTTTATTAAGAAATTCAGACTCATATGCACAGTAATCCTCGATTGCGGGGGTTGTAATTTTTGTAGTACGTCAAATATTTAAAGGTCGTTATTCGATTATGTTTAAATGATCCATAAGCAACCCTTCAATTGCTCTCTAAGGTTAAAGTGCCTTTTGGTTTTAAAATTACGAATTTTATTAGAAAATTGGACTCATAGTATAGTAGGTAATTCTCGGTTGCGAGGGTTGTAATTTTTGTAGTACACCAAATATTTATAATTCGTTAATCGATTATGTATAAATGATCCATAAGCAACCCTTCAATTGCTCTCTAAGGTTAAAGTGCCTTTTGGTTTTAAAATTACGAATTTTATTAGAAAATTGGACTCATAGTATAGTAGGTAATTCTCGGTTGCGAGGGTTGTAATTTTTGTAGTACACCAAATATTTATAATTCGTTAATCGATTATGTATAAATGATCCATAAGCAACCCTTCAATTGCTCTTTAAAGTCAAAGTTCTTTTGGTTTTAAAATTACGAATTTTATTAAGAAATTCAGACTTATATGCACAGTAATCCTCAATTGCGGGGGTTGTAATTTTTGTAGTACGTCAAATATTTAAATGTCGTTATTCGATTATGTTTAAATGATCCATAAGCAACCCTTCAATTGCTCTTTAAAATCAAAGTTCCTTTTGGTTCTAAAATTACGAATTTTATTAAGAAATTCAGACTCATATGCACAGTAATCCTCGATTGCGGGGGTTGTAATTTTTGTAGTACGTCAAATATTTAAATGTCGTTATTCGATTATGTTTAAATGATCCATAAGCAACCCTTCAATTGCTCTTTAAAGTCAAAGTTCCTTTTGGTTTTAAAATTACGAATTTTATTAGGAAATTCAGACTTATATGCACAGTAATCCTCAATTGCGGGGGTTGTAATTTTTGTAGTACGTCAAATATTTAAATGTCGTTATTCGATTATGTTTAAATGAT